GCTTAGGCCACGTTCATACTTTGCAATACGAACGCTTCATTCGCTGCCTCTAACCGACCGCGCTCCACTGCTAATCGTTGGACCGCTGTAACGACATAGCAGTTTCAGTTCTAGCGGAGGAGAGCACTCGCTTGCAGTCACGCATTTCCCGAATCGGGCAACTGAGCGACTCGAGGAAGTTTGAAGGCAGTTTTTTATGCAGGAAAGCTGGCTCAGTGAGTAGGAAAGCTAGTTCATGCTCATTGTCAGTCCTAGCCAGCTTCGACAAAGTACATAGCACTCGAGGCTTCTCTACAACATCTAAAATCACACATGTGCTGAAAGCCACACAATAAATCTAGGCGTACCGCTACGGTAGTCGCACTAGTACGCAATTACACGGGCTAGTCGGAACTTTCGCGTGCCGTTGTACATTCCTTGTGGCTGAGTTTATTTGTATATGGTATGTTTTCTCTTTTTTTGCTATCACACTTCAATGCGTTCTGTGGCCACCGCGTAGGTAAACTGCAAAGTAGCAGTCACCAGAGACTCATTAAGCCGTGCATTTTAAGCCTAGAATTCCTACAGATTTTAGTTTTAGTGTTCGTTCCTACAAATTTTAATTTCCATGTTCTAGCAAGTTTGTGTTACTCGAAAATCTGTGGACTCGTGTTGTAGTACAGAATATAGATTTTGTGGTTGTATATTACAGTTTTATTACAGTTATGGCTTACATTGAAGCAATAATTAATTACTTCATTGACTTTTCGGATAGAGGACATTTTGTTTCGCACAGTTTTTAGTGTGATTTCGTGTGTTCACGTCTTTCATATGATGCTTTATCTTTCTACTCATTCTAGGGTAAAAATTGGCTAGTAGTACGAAAATATGACTGACGTAGATGTGCAAGTTCTGCAAGATGAGATCAAAGCAATGGGGGATGAGATTAGGTCTTTGAAAGCAGAGAAAGCTGATGCCGCATTGGTGCGTTTGCTTTTCCCATTGTCTCAGCGCCCTTCTGCCGACTGGTGTGGCTTTTGAGTATGACTACCTAATTTGATGGTCCTTCAGCTTTTGAGTGTGGCGTTGCTGAGTTAACAAGCGAAGCCACAGCGTCGCCCGATTCTTGCAGCCGTTGAAAAGAGTTGGGTCGATTTTGAGGATGGTCTCTTCTTGGTTTCTACTATCTCCTTTATTAGGGCACAATTCTGGCGAGAAGCGTGGTAGCGTGGGGAACTGATTCCCCAAAGAACTATCCTTGACATCAAGTGCCGCATTGTCTTGCCAGAAGAAATCAAACGTGGAGGACTGCTTCATAATCAGAGCACGTCGTACACTGGAGAGTATTCAGAGGGGTTGTAATTTTGTCGCTGGGAGGAGGAGTGGGCGTATTTGGTCTGAACTGATTTTTTTTTCGATAATTGGGAGACTCCCCTGGAAGGTTGTATTAGCTTGTCGCCTAGAGAAGAGGTCATATCTGGCCTTGAGAATTTTTGTGAGGTTTTTGGCGTTCGCAGTTTTTTTCCCTTTTCACATCTGCTATAGAATCCCCCTTCCCTGTTTGGCGGTGCAGTCGTAGTTATGCAGAAATACTATTTTTGATGGTTGAAATTAGCAGCTGTTTGGTGCGACCATCCACCGTGCTCGAGGGCAGTTTTTTTAGGTATAACTGGAAAAAAAGTTTCTGAAAGTGGTAGGACCATCGGAAGATTCGGTAAGATGTTAGGTGGTGGAGAAGGGGTGTTCTAGGGGGTGCCCTGTTTGTGGCCCTATAATTGCAGCACTACACCTGAAACATTTCCTACAAATAATTTGTTCTGAGGCGGATGTGGTGTAGTGACAAGTGGCGCGCCTACCACCCGCGTGGTGCTAGGTTCGACCCGGGCCGACTCCCGCCCAGGCCAACCATCCGGGGACGGTAAATTGGTACCAGATTCGTCTGGGAGGATAAAACACTGACTTGTACATCGGCTGGCCACCGCAAGTCATTGTATAGGCCACATCGCATTCAATAAGCCACTACGATTCTGAATGGAAGTAGAATGCGTGCCGCATCCCACAAAGGGATTGATCAACGGCGAAGACTTTATCCTTTATCCTTTAATTTGTTCTGCTTTACCGTTCAGTATTAGATAGTATTGAGTGTCCCATTCGATGTCGCATTCACCTTTTATAAGTGTTTTCCTCAATTAAAAGTATTCATGGATATTATAGTGACACTGGGACTGGCTTTCAAAGATGATCTCGTCTCGTTTCCTGAGGCAATGCTTGTATTACTCTACCGCAGTGAGAAAACCCGTTATTTATACACACCGCAGTGGCAGAAGGGTGCGCGAGAACATTATAGATCTTTTATTCTAATTAGACTCTGCTCTAGATCTTTTTTCTACTGGGCCTCAATTGCTTCATTGTAAAAATATCAACATTTCATAGATAAAAGAAAAAATAGCAGCTATGCTTGAAAAGAAGAAATTGCTTGGTGATGGTCAGTCTGATCAAGGAAAGTACGTCTTGAAGACTGCTAAGGGTGAATTATTTTCTGCTTGCCAGGTATCTATCCTTTTTCCAATCTGTTCTGTTTTTATCTCCCGATTTGTATAGGAACTCGGGACTATGGGCCAAAATCAATGGCTGTTCGAGAGTCTGTGCTGAAGATCGTCACCGATGCGTTCAAGAGGCACGGAGCGGAGACCATTGATACTCCGGTTTTCGAACTGAGAGATGTAAGTTGAAGATATTTCCTTCCATGATCAGTCAAGGTGCAGTTTGACTTGGGGGGGGGGCACTGAATGGTGCTCAGCTAAGCTTGTAGAAGCCACTTTGTGAAGATCTCTATGTTCTAAGATCCGTGAGTTTCTGTGACCGAGGTGGATCCCTCGAAGTGTTTCGCAGTTTGACGAGAAGTTACGGGTCTTACCAGAATGAGACCTGTAAGTTAACACGGAATCAAAAAAGGCCCCTCCTAGCGGAGCAGCGCCAGTGATCTGATATTTTCTCTAGTTTCTTTCAGGTACTCATGGGTAAATACGGCGAGGAAGGTGGTAAGCTTGTTTATGACCTTCAAGATCAAGGAGGTGAACTGCTGTCATTGCGATATGATTTAACGGTTTGTGATGATTTCTTGAATACAGAAAAGATTTGTTGATGAGGAACTGCACAGCTTTCTACGCTTAACACTTTTCTTTCTAGGTACCATTCGCTCGATATCTTGCAATGAATAAGATATCGAACATAAAGAGGTATCATATCGCAAAAGTCTACCGCCGAGATCAGCCAGTGATGACAAGAGGACGTTACAGAGAGTTCTATCAGTGTGTGAGTGCTCTTTTACTTTACTAGGAGGTGTCCTTACCTTACAGATGTTGGGAGTACGCAATTCCGGGGAGTCGTTGACAAAGGATCAGGTACCATTCTACTGAGTCCCGCCTGTGGTCGAGACCTTCGTCCATAACTGCTTTCTTGTTATAACTTTTGGAGCGCGAAGGTGACGTCAAACAGTAGTAATCATTCTTAAACAACTCAAATTTGACCGAATCGACATAGGGCTTGCCTTTCAAGGTACACTGTCAGGGTGTGGGGCTAGGGTCGGACCACCTCCCCCCAGCTCAGTCCTTCAGTACAACTCCCCCCACAACCTACCTACCTACAGCGTACCTACCAAAATTCTACCGCCGGGTGGGGGTAGACACCTCCAGCCGCTAAATTATCAAAAATTTTGGTTCCGTTGCTTTGCCAACTAGACCTATATATAACCCACGAAAAACCAGTAAAGCGACCTATTGGGATCGTCATTTTGTGATGACTGCTGTTTAACACCGCCGTCCGCTACGAAAGTTATCACAAGAGTGCAGACTTTTGGACAAAAGTTTGTCCGCAGTTGGGACTGGAACCCGCACCTCACGCTTTCCGGGCGAGTGTGCTATCCGTTACACCACCAAAGCTGCTCTTACCCTCTCAGCTTCACTGCCCTAGAATCTTTGAAATTCCACACAGCTCTCCACATTCGCTGAGCATGAACGCGGCCTTACGGTTTCACTGAATGCACATTTTCCTTTTATTTCTTATCCTTTTTCTCTTATTTGAATTCTCATTCCTTTACGAATGCCGCTATATGAGTGATTCGGGTTTCGGTTTTACAGGATTTCGATATTGCCGGGCAGTATGATCTGATGATCCCTGAAGCGGAATGTTTGAAAATAGTAGATGAGGTCCTGTCGAAGCTGGAGATTGGAGACTTCATTATCAAGGTACGGACTTGTCCACCGTTTGTGTGTCTAATGGCTGTAGGCCTTGTTCATGAGCGAGCTTTTTTTTAGTTGAATCACCGTTTCCTTCTGGAAGGTATGTTTGCCGCTTGTGGAGCTGGCGCTGACCAGTTCAAAACAGTTTGTTCATCTGTGGATAAGCTTGATAAGCAGCCATGGGTTGAGGTATGGCAAGAAGTTACTCCAATTTTGATCCGTTTGACATGTTTTTCTTTTTCAGGTTGAGGAAGAACTCATAAAAGAGAAAGGTTTGACGAAGGAGAACACTGAGAAACTGGGTCAATTCGTCCGGCTTAGAGGTCATTTTGCCAATATTTCACCATTACGTGATTTATGTTGTCATTTGACGACCTGTACCTAATTGTGAGCCTTTATTTCAATGAATTTTGGAGGGGGAGGTTTTTATGGGACAGACCAGTTTCCGCGGCCATCAAATCGTGCACCTTGATTTTTCTACTTTTAACTAGTTGTTATAGAGTTCAATCCTTCCATGGGTAATGTTGAGCTTCTGGACAAACTAATGGAATTTGAAGAACTTGCGAAAAATCCCCGTTTCAAGAAAGGTATCGAAGAATTGAAAGTGAGTTCTTCATATGCTTTATTGTCATAAAGATGCCAGCATTTCTCAAGCATCTGTTATTAAAGGTTCTGGTGAATTATTGCTCACTTTTTGGAGTTAGTACGGTTCGATTTGACCCATCGTTGGCGCGAGGATTAGATTACTACACTGGAGCTATCTACGAGGCTGTTGTTCCGAGTCAGTTGATTTCGATGATACATTCCTTTTGAATTTAGTTTCGCTCCGTGTGCCATCTTTAGCATATTGAACGAACTGTGCATTGGTTCCGATGCACGCTATCAACTCACGTTTTGCCTTCTTTCCCGACTAATTTCAGTGCACATTGTTTGATTTGGTTTTTCTACTGGGTAAGGGGGTGGATGCATTTTTTTTTCTTTCAAAACTCAAGAATATTGTAATATACTTGGGCCGAATTGGCTGCCGTTCCCTGCGTTCATACTTTGCGACTGATGACAGCCGGCGATTAGATACTTTGGTAGAGCGCGGTATCGCTTCCGTAATCGCTAGCAACTGGTGTCGATCGATAGCCACCCTTTCGTTTGCCGCACAATCACCGAGAATACCAAAGCATGGGATTGCTCAGTCTCCGCAGTTACCTGGTCAATACTTATTCTTTTCTTGTAGCGCAATATCTCAGATCGCCGAGCCCCCAAATCGCCGAATCTCGTTGGTCGCTAAGTATGAACGCGTCTTAAATCCTGACGCTCAGTGTGCTAGCAATCGATATAGCTACATATTTCAGAGGCGTTAGAAGGAG